CTACAGTGCAGCCTACTTTGCTAAAATTGCAAATTTACAATCAGTTTTCTAATTATTTTAATTTTTGAACTACGAACCTCAGTAATTAACATTACGACTTAGTTTTAATAACTAGGTAAATAATCTCAGATTATTATTCTGGAGTAAATATAATTTCATTTTAACACAAGATGTTGGAGTTTTACAGATTCAAATAATAATAATAATAATAATAATAATAATAATAATAATAATAATAATAATAATAATAATAATAATAATAATAATAATAATTATTATTATTATAATTATTTGTTAAAGCAGAATATCACTGGTAGCTAATGATGGTTTTTTTTTCTACTTTTTTTTTAAAAAAATGACCAATTTAAAATAAGCTCTTGGTCTCACCTTAAAATCTGAACACCTTGAGAACTTTCTTAGGAGAATCCGAACTGTGCTACCTCCACAAAAACCTCACCTGTATTTACTCTGGTCAGATGGCAAAGATAGTCGTCGGTCAAATTCACAGTCCGCAAATCCACAGGTGGAGCAGCCCTTGGCCCGCCGCTCTTTATACAACCCGGTGGCATTAGTCATGCGTTTGACAGGACGGGACAAACAGTGACCTTTTAGACCCTTTGAATGAAAAACTCTTAGTATTTAGTTTCAGGGCGTAGAACCACTTTCAAATAGGCGCACCAAGCAGTCTGTGGGTTTTTATGGGCATAGAGTAACAAAGGCACGTCAGACATATTTGTATTTTAGTAAGTTATAAACTAGGGATTGTCGTTGCAGATGTAGGAGCTGATAGTGTTTGCAAAGCACTAAAGCTGTTGTCCTTGCGTCGGACCATTTGTATGTTTCCAGATGGACACCGTGGAGCTAGCATGTGCGCCAAGGTCATGTAAAGAGCTAGGAAAAAAAAAAAAATTAGCTACCATAACACCGTTACATTAAAGCAGTTGTTCCTAAACCTTCTTCGCTGGGTCCCCCTTTGGTTCATGAGAAAGTGTTGGCGCCCCCTATACACAAAATGTTGAAGTGTGAGTTGGTTATACAGGAGCTGGAAGAATGAAGTGTGAGTTGGTTATACAGGAGCTTCCAGAAACTTCCTTGTTTCTGTTTTACCTCTGCTGCGGACAAGCACAAAGTGAAGGGAGTTAGCCCCGGAGCTAACGTTAGCTTCGGCTCTGGAGCAGATCACTTAAGTCTCCCCTGTACATTCCTATGGTCGAGGCGCTAAAGCAGGAAAGAGCTAACGTGTAACCAGGCGTGTTACAGGAACTTTTCGGGAAAAAAAAAAACAACCATTTATTTAATTAAAAGTAAAAAAAAAAATCTTTCTGTGTTACAACGTGGACACCTGCGGTTTATAGAGCAGTGCGGCCTATATATGTACAACTATTTTTTCTTTTTAAATTTAGAGGGTGCTGCTTATATTCAGGTGCGCTCAACAGTCCGGAAATTACGATATTGTGTTTTCAGACTGGTTTATTTTATACATTTTCAAAATTGTAACCGTTTTTACCGTCATTGTTCCTGGGGAAACAGGGACTTTGTATTTTAGTCATGGAAAGTGTTTGTTTGTTATCACCGTGGGTTGGTGGAGGTGTGGACAGAATTGAGGCTGATTGTTCCGCTCCTGCCGTGGGAACTCTTGAGCACAGTCATAACAGTTCGAGGAAACACACCGCTGCTCAGAACAGAGTGAACAAGCGACAGCAGAAACGAGATAAGAATTAAAAAACAGCCTCCTTCGCAATTTTATCTGTTTTCCTGGCCAATGCGAGACACTTTCGTCAGTTCTGTAGTGTAGTGGTTTGCACTCCTGGGTTCGATCCCCAGTGGAAGCGGTGATGCCTGCTGGGGATATTAACAGCATATGGGATCAATATACAGTAGTTCAAAGTTATTTATTTTTGTGAAATATTTACAGCATTGGACAATATGCACTCCCACCTCCTTCTACAACAGCACTGCGCCCCCCGCCCCCTACTTTGGGAACCTCTTCATTAATGTAAGTATTCATTCTTCAAAGCCTAATTCCCGACTCTGTGCTGAAAAAGTGGTTCAGACAAATCGCTCCCTTTGATGAGAATAGATACTAAATATGAAAGGATATGAAAGCATTTATATAAGAGACCCAATTATACCTTAAATATTTGTCTATGATCAAAAATAGACTTTAAACATGGTTTTATATAAGAGACCCAATTATACCTTAAATATTTTATAAGTCTATGATCAAAAATAGACTTTAAACATGGTCTAGAAATCCTGGATGGATGGATGGGTGAATGATGGATGAATAGATGAATGATGGATGGATGATAGATAGATAGATGGATAGATGATGGGTGGATAGATAGATGGATAGATGGAGGGATGGATAGATGATGGATGGGTGGATGATGGATGAAGAGATGAATGATGGATGGATGGATTGATGAATGATAGATGGATGGATGGATTGATGGATGGATGGATGATGGATAGATAGATGGATGGCTGGATGGATGAATGATGGATAGATAGATGATGGATGGATGGATAGACAGATGGATGGATGGATGTATGAATGATAGATGGAGGGATGGATGGATGAAGGATAGATGGATGGATAGATGGATAGATGGATGAATGATAGAGGGATGGATGGATGGATGGGTGAATGATGGATGAATGATAGAGGGATGGATGGATGAAGGATAGATGGATGGATAGATGGGTGGATGGATGGATGAATGATGGATGGATGATAGATAGATAGATAGTGTGGTTCTTTCTGCTTCTGCTGATGATGGTGTCGTTTCTTGTTAAAGATCAACTTAAACTCTGTGGTCGACAGATTTTCTGCTCAGTCAGCTGCGACGGTGAACTGGGGGAAGAGCGAGGCCCCTGAGGTCGGTGAATGGTTCTCCTTCGGGGGGTCTGACGTTGAAAAAGAAGTTTTCAAACATCTAGGTTATTGTTTTAGGGAACAATATCCTAAAAAAGAAACACTTGGAGAACGTGGAGAGTAAACTGATTCAGTGGTAGGTGGCTACACACGCAAATTGTTGACTGCTTACCTGATTTGACCTGAAGATCTGGTGTGGGGTGACGTGGTCAGCTGTATACTCGGGGCGTGTCCATAACCTGGGGTAAGTAACAGTTAGTGTCAAACATGTATTTTCTTTATTTTCACTTTGAGTTTCTACAGTCACTGGTGAGCTCACTCGGCCCTTCCTGATGTGTTCGGCCACTTAGATTTCCTGCTGTGATCTTCACATGTATTTCCCTAATAGGGTTCTAATCTGATTAGACTGAGTTTGCATCCTGTCCTCATTTCATCATTTTCTGGGTAAGTGTTATCTTTCAGCTTTTTTTTTTTTTTTTTTTTTAAAAGCCCTTTCCTTTTCAATAAAAGAATACCTTCAAATTA